ATCGATCGATCGATCTATAAATCTATCTATCTATTTATCTATCTATTTATCTATCTATTTATCTATCTATTTATCTATCTATCTACCTATCTACCTACCTACCTACCTATCTATTTATCTATCTATCTAATCTAATCTAATCTATCTAATCTACCTAATCTATCTAATCTATCTAATCTATCTGTTCTAATCTAACATAAACTAATGTATTCTAACCAAATCTAATCTACTCTAACCTATTCTAAACTATTCTAATCTAATCAAATCTAATCTATCTATCTATCTACCTATCTCTCTCTCTCTATCTCTCCCTCTCTCTCTCTCTCACTCATATGTCTATTTATCTATCTATCTAACTATCTAACTATCTATCTATCTATCTATCTGTCTATCTATCTATCTATCTATCACTCTATCTAGCTATCTATCTATCTAATCTATCTATCTATCTTATCTATCTATCTATCTATCTATCCATCTAGCTGTCTTTCCATCTTTCTATCCATATTTCTATCCATCTTTCTATCTATCTATTTGTCTATCTATCTATCTTTCTTTCTATCAAACCACCTATCTATCTATCTATCTGTCTGTCTGTCTATCCATCTATCTATCTACCTATCTATCTATCTATCTTTCTTTCTATCTATCTATCTATCTGTCTGTCTGTCTGTCTGATCTATCTAATCTTTCTAATCAAACAATCTGTCTATCTAATCCAACAATCTTTCTATCTAATCTAATCTAATCGAACCTAAACGAATCGAATCTAATCAAATCTTATCTGCTCTAATCTAATCTAATCAAATTTATCTATCCATCTATCTAATCTAATCAAATCTAACCTAATCTATTCAATCAAAGAATCTATCTATCTAACCAAACAATCTATCTATCTAACCAAACAATCTATCTATCTAATCTAATCAAACCTAAACTAATCTAAACTAATCTTATCTTATTTTATCTATCTATCTATCTATCGCTCTCTCTGTCTACCTATCTATCTATCTATCTATCTAGAATCTATCCATTCATCTATCCATCTAGCCATCTAGCTGTCTATCCATCCTTCATATTATCTTTGTATCTATTTATTTAAGTATCTATCTATCTATCTATCTGTCTGTCTGTCTATCTATCTATCTATCTATTTATCTATCTATCTATCCATCCATCTATCCATCTATCCATCTATCCATCTATCCATCTATCCATCTAGCCATCTAGCCATCTATCCATCTAGCCATCTATCTAGCCATCTATCTAGCCATCTATCTAGCCATCTATCCATCTATCCATCTATCCATCTATTCTATCTATCTATCTATCTAGCTATCTATCTCATCTGTCTATCTAACTGTGTATCTAGCTATCTACCCATCTACCTATCTATCTATCTATCTATCTGTCTATCTATCTATCTATCTATCTATCTCATCTGTCTATCTAACTGTGTATCTAGCTATCTACCCATCTACCTATCTATCTATCTATCTATCTATCTATCTATCTATCTATCTGTCTCTCTGTCTGTCGTTCTGTCTGTCTGTCTATCTATATACCTGGCTATCTGCCAGCTTGAACACCAAGCTATTCTGCGAGACTTCCTCATTTTTCGAAGTTGACAACATCAAAAACGAAGTAATTCTGCGAGACGTCCTTAATTTTCGAAGTAGACAACATCCAAAACGAAGCAAATTCTGCGAGACTTCTTCAATTTTTGAATTTGACAACATCAAAAACAAAGCAATTCTAAGACCTCCTTCAAAAATGGAAGGTTGAGTGCAGCGCTGACGGCCTCGTACCAATGCGTTTTGCGATTTTTCCACTCCACCTGTCTAAAGTACTGCGCCTGCCACGAAAAATTGAGGCCAGGTCATTCGAAGTGCTGCACCTGTCACGCAAAATCATCTTAGCAAACCGACAGATCTGATGCTCCAAAATGCAACCCCTCTCAGGAAATCAGCGCCCTGACCTCCTAACATCTCTGATGAACATGTCTTTTGTACTGCGCCTGCCACGGAAAATGCATCTTTGCAGATCCTGTTCAAATGTCCCACGCCTTCCATCGTTTTTGGAAATGCTACAAAACCCTCACGTTTTTCTCACTTTTGACAAGGTCCACAACCCCTTGCGCCTGCCACGCAAAACGACACCGGACACCTGAACGTCCAAAAGTGGCGCGAACATGTGGTGTTTTGTACATGTTGACTTCGAAATGTGCTTCACGCCACAACAGCGTGCACTTTTTCGACATCTCAACTTCCACAAGTGGCGCTTTTTAGCATTGTGACTTCGACATGTGCTTCGCACCACAACGGCGTGCACTTTTTCGACATCTCAACTTCCAAAAGTGGTCCGGAGCTGGTGTGTTTTGTACATTTTGACTTCGAAATGTGCTTCGCGCCACAACGGCGTGCAATCGTCTGGCCAGATGGCTCCGCACCCGCCGTTTTAGCGAGCCTACTTTTCGACCCTCCGGGGCCACAAATGATCGGAAAAAACACAGTGTTTCGCGACTTTCCTTCCTTTTCGCGCACCTGCATCTTCTTTCTTCTGACTCTTTCTCTTCTCTGATCTTCTCTCTTCTATAGTCTTCTCTTCTCACTGACTCTTCCCATCTCTGCTTTTCATCTGTCCATATTGTCGGAAGTTTGACTTCTAAACTTCCTTCGATAATTTAACTCAATAACGTACAATATAACATAATATATTTTAAAATAATATCAGAAAAATAAAAAAAATATATTATAATTGGATATAATATACTTTGATACAATACAGTATATATAATATACCAGTAGTACCGCACAAGGCGGTGGCGGAAGTTTTAAAAATTGGAAACCTATAATAGGAGAGGTTGTTGTGAATCACAGATGGCAGAGCAAATCCACTGGTGGACCGACAGATGGTTGGAGATGTGTTTTTTGGAATAGTTCCAATGGTTGCAGTGGTCACCTTACCACAACTGCTGGATGTAGTCTGGTGTAGTGCAGTTGTAGTTGCAGTTGTAGCTGTTGTTGTAGTGTAGTGGAGCTGTAACTGTAATGTAGTGTAATTAATTTATTGGCAAGTGCAGTTGCAGTTGTAGTCGTGGTGTGGTGCAATTAGTGTAGTGTAGTGCAGTGTAATGTCGTGTAGTGTTGTGTAGTGTAGTGTGGTATAGTGTAGTGTTGTGTTGTGTAATGTAGTGTGGTTGTAGTTGTAGTTGCATTTGTAGTTGCAGTGTGCTGCAGTGTAATTAGCGTAGTGTAGTGTAGTTGTAATTGTAGTTGTAGTTGTAGTAGTTCTTGTAGTTATTGGTGTAACTCGTGTAGTGTAGTGTAATTAGATGCAATTAGTGTAGTTTACTGTAGCGTGGTATATTTGCATTTCTAGCTGTAGCAGTAGTGTAGTGTAGTGGTAGCATTTTTAATTGTCTATCTATCTATCTACCTATCTATCTATCCATCTATCTATCTGTTTGTCTGCCTGTCTGTCTGTCTGTCTGCCTGTCTACCTACAAGCCTGAAAACGCAGCAATTCTGCGATACTTCCTCAATGTTTGAACTTGACAACGTCAAAAACGAAACAATTCTGCGAGACCTCCTTAGTTTTTGAACTTGACAACATCAAAAACGAAACAATGCCGCGAGACATCCTCAATTTTCGAAGTTGACAACATCCAAAACGAAACAATTCTGCGAGACTTCCTTCAAAAATAGAAAGTTGAGTGCAGAGCTGACGGCCTCGTACCAATGCGTTTTGCGATTTTTCCACTCCACCTGTCTAAAGTGCCTGCCACGAAAAATTGATGCCAGGTCATACGAAGTGCTGCACCTGTCACGCAAAATCATCTTAGCAAACCGACAGATCTGAGTCTCCGAAATGCAACCCCTTGGAAATCAGCGCCCGGACCTCCTAACATCTCTGATGAAGATGTCTTTTGTACTGCGCCTGCCACGGAAAATGCATCTTTGCAGATCCTGTTCAAATGTCCCACGCCTTCCATCGTTTTTGGAAATGCTACAAAACCCTCACGTTTTTGCTCACTTTTAACAAGGTCCACAATCCCTTGCGCCTGCCACGCAAACAACATCTTAACGTCCAAAAGTGGTCCGAACCCCTAGATTTGTTTTTACATTTTGACTTTCGACTTCGAAATGTGCTTCGCGCCACAACGGCGTGCACTTTTTGAACATCTCAACTTCCAAAAGTCCTCCGACATATAAAAATAATATATATATATAATAAAATGAAATGAAATATAATATATTATAATTTATAATATAATATATAGATATTAAAAAAATATTATATTATATTATATTATATTACATTATATTAGTTTTTTTATTAAATAATATAATATATTAAAATAATATGTAATATAATATAAAATAATATTATCTTATAATATAATATAATATAACATACTATAATATAATATAATAAAATATAATATAATATAGTATTTTTATAATAAATATAATAATGAATATTTTCGATAATATAATATAATAAGATAAACTAGAATGTAATAAAATATAATATAAGATTGGATTATAGTATATGATTACTCTAAATTATAATATACTAAATTATATTATGCTATGTTATATAATATTGTTATTATCAAATATGATATTATATTAAACATATATGGCAAGCAAGACATAACTGCAACACAACATCTCACGACCATTTACCAAAGCAAAGGGTTGTGTCATTTTCGACATTTGTCAGACCACCTGGACCTGGCCGGCCGGTTTTCTAAGTAAGCCGTGATCAAAAGGTCTTGCCTTTCTGAAGGCGCTAACCGCTAAGGGTATTCTTATGCCGGAGCTTACGCGCCCACAGCTTTAGCTTGCGCGCACGAATACTTTACGCTGATGCTTTCGCGGGCTTACGCACACCAGGTTTTGCTTAAGCGAGGTCCTCATCGCCTCTCCCTTCCTAAAAATGAATAGCTGGGTTTTGAACGTGGCTCAAATTTTCTAGCCCTGCAATGGATAGCATTACAACAGTCCGGTCAGCGAAGCAGGAACGAGAACTTGCCCACAACAGACTGGCAAACCTTTTGTTTGTTTCATGGGCAGAAACAGCATTGGTTGCCAGGTTCCACATACTTTGAAACAAACCTTCTTGTGCCAAGCAGCATCACCTATCACGCCAGCACTGGTGACAAAAACCAACTCCAAGTGCTCTTGGCTGGACAGGAGGAATTCGAATAGACACCAAACTCCTCAGCACGGAAATGTCTGCTATTTTGGGAGTTTGGACGGACGTGCCACGAAATAGAAAAAGAGTGCGACAATGACAAGTACATTACAATATATCTGAATCCCTGCACTTCGTGACATGCCCCACACTTGGTCGAGTCACTTGTGAGAGGCTGCACTTCCTGGTCCAAGACCATCGCAACCCCTTTGATTCCGCCTCTCAATGCGCGTGCAAAGTTGCTCTGCATGGGGTCACTTCCCACTGCGGCTCCGATATCCCACTGGTTGTTCGCCTGGGCAAAATTCTCAACTTGAACAAGGAAACACATCTTTCACAGATCTTCAAAACGCTTGATGGCCCGTCTCACACGTAGGAGAGTGGAACACGTCCCCTGTTTGGCCACAAAGGTTCAAAAAGATGTCCAGGATAGAGGTTCACCTACCCACAGCAGTCACGTATGCTCCGCTGCCGCGATTCTTAAACAAACATAAAACAGTGGTGATGGGCCCGTGTTCTCCTCCAAGTTGCAAATGAGCAGATCCAATATGCTGCATCAATCCAAGAAGTGGAGCCCTCTTTGGACATAGCATGGCATTGGATGGAACGCACGAAGTGCGGAAAACTGGTGCCCCAGGAATGAGACCTTAACCCAAACGCAAGGAAGGCTTTCAGCGGCTTGGACTGAAGGTGCACAAACGTCAAACAAAAAACAATTCAATAAACACTTCGCCGAGCAAATGCCAAGTGACACAAAATATTTCACTCGCCTGCCGCCCCACAGTGTTACAAAGGAAACCTCTCTGCTTTGCGTCAGGGGCGTCACTATGTTGGCAACTACAAAGTGCATATTGCGCTCCAGAATAAAACCTGACTTCGGCAAGTCGGAACATGGGTTTTCTCTTATACAATCCAAAGATAAACTATATCCAATCTGCCCACTCAGATCCAAGCATTCACACGGAAACAAACCATGTGAACAAAAAAATACAATGTGGTTGAGCCAAAACTTCCACAATACATCACAGTACAAAAATTATGGATCAACAGAAAAAAATGCTGGTCAGAACAAAGAGGCTCTCGAAGTGCTCCCACAAGCCGCGCAAAATTAACACCTCCAAGCCCTGGTTGACAGGATGGGCTGCATCAGGCCCCGTGAACGGCTTGCAGTTGATCTGCGTCCGGTATTCATCCAAAGCCTCCGAAAATGACGTTCCACGATATAGACGTCGGATCAGCCACGCCACCGGCAAATGCAGCAATGACGCAACAGTAACCAGAGGAAAGGTAACATATATTGCTGTAACCTCGGCCAAGAATTTCTTTGCCGGCCAAACGAAACAAAAGACAGCACTTAAACTTGCAAAACAACAAAACTGTGTACCAAAACAGCTCTTTGCAAGCCAAAGCGACGAAAACATGTCCTACACCGTTTCCGGATGTGACTGCTACCTTGATGATGACAGGTAGCATCGCGCTCACTGATATGCATGCAGTGAGCAAGCCGAGCAAGTAAAAGTAATCAGCGGCGTGCAAAGAACCCTTGCACGACGCACAATCAAACAGTGGATTCGTGTCTTGCAGCAAAAGCTTTCTGCGCGCAATAGTGCGAACTTTGATTGCATTGGACTTCTTCTGATCATAGTCTAGCCAGACTAACCCTGTTCCCTTTGCCCGATACTGCACCCGCTGGTGCACCAAGCGAGACAGGCTTTTGTGAAGATCAACGATTGGGCCTTGCACAGCAAGCATGAAAATCCTCTTGCTTTTTGCTTGTGTCGGATCTTCCAAAGCTGACTTCGCATCAACGATCACCAAAGGAGCATGCAAAATCTCGAAGATGAGGAAGGTCAAAATGACGACCACGGCTGCACCTGTCGAAAGTATGATAAGCTCCCTCTTTTTGCGTGGTAGCACATGGCAAACGTCTTTGTTCCCATCAGACCAAGCAATGAAGACACCACACTTCGAGCAGTCGCCATTCTGAAAGTGGAAGTGTGGCATGCCTCAGCTACTAAGTGCTCAGTGGGTGCCCGGGTTGAAAAATAAACGACCGGAAAGAACACCGCAAAAAGTCATTAATGATCGTTATGTGCTAATCTTTGCACTGTATTGTCAATTGACCCACTGAAAGACAAGTTGCAGAACATGCACGTCTGGAAAATACTTTCCAATGGCACCATATCGACATCGCGGAAGCGCTGGGATACAATCCTTCCATCTGGCATTTGCAGGCTCCAAGGTGAAAGTGTGATTTTATATGGTTTATTTGCCTGAAAACTGGATGCTTTCCAAACCGTCCGAAGGGATGGCTTATTTGCATGGCTTACTCTCTACGAGTACTCATCTGGTGGCTGATTTGGCTTTCAAAACCAGTCAGGAAAACCGGTCAAGAGGGAAGTTATAAACAAAGTAAACGAAACCAGTGAGCTGAGAGTCAGGTAGTTCGGACACTTGCAACGTTGCGTCAAGCCTTTTGACCTCAACATGGTTTCCAGGAATTGTAAAGCCAATAACGCAATGAGACTGCCATGACAACAGATTGCATCTGAAAGAGCCGTCTTTTCGTGAATTCACAGGAAAACTGATTTAGCGAAAGAGAGAAGAATTGGGGCGATTGAAGACTTTGGAATGGAATCTGTACTGGCGAATTTGAAAAAATGAAGGGGCCTCACTCCTGGCCGTTCTGTGTTCACCTGTTCGGGCGCCAAGTGGCACTGTGGCAGTCTTGGAGCACTGGAGATGTTCAGAGCTCACGGCTTTTAGAGTTCCGTCCTTCGTGGCGTTGAAAGTGATGCCCCAGGTGCAGTTCCGGCAGGAAACGGCCAACGACTCGATCTCGAAGCCGTCCTGTCGGGACTTGAGCCTATCAAAACAACTGAAAGCCAAGTTGCTTCTGATTTCTGATTTCGAATCAAACGTTGCAAAACAAAAGCCATCTAGCAAAAGTATGAAAATTAATGCATTTTACCAAAGATTATACAGATTAAACGTATTATGTGATTTGATGGTATCTTATGTATGTATGATGCTTTAGACCAGCAGACCCGCCAGAGCTCATACATTGAGATCGTATACATGGAATGCCAAAAACAACGAGTAGAGTTAGAGTTTTCACGCAATAGGCGCTTTGTGTCAAGAACGACTGTACAGGGAAGCGACAATGTCACGCCTAAGTCATGCCTAGCGTGTTTTTGAGTAGCATTTACCATTGTAAACGCTGTATCCAAGAAGTCATGCCTAAGTCATGCCTAAATGCTTTTCTGCATGGAACGCTGTCCTCAATAAAAGTGTAACCATGCATTTTAGACATTAAAAACAAACGAAACACAATGGAACGCGATTGATGAAAATATTGATTTTTCTACTCTCCTATAGTGTCATTCTCGTGTGCAACCTGCATGTCAACGCTGGGATTCTGCATTGTTATTTTTCTATTCTCTGGGTCACTTCGGCAAATTGTCAGGCAATTTTGGCTTATAGAAGCTTGAAATTCAACAAGATGGAAGCCAAGAACCCGACGACGACAGCTTGCACAAAGGACTTCTCAGTACTACTTTGTACTACAAAGCTTGCACAAACTACTTCCCAGTACTACTTTGTACTACAAAGCTTGCACAAAGTCCTTCCCAGTACTACTTTGTACTACAAAGCTTGCACAAAGCACTTCCCAGTACTACTTGTACTACAAAGTTTGCACAAACTACTTCCCAGCACTACTTTGTACTACAAAGCTTGCACAAAGCACGTTCCAGTACTACTTTGTACTACAAAGCTTGCACAAAGTACTTCCCAGTACTACTTTGTACTACAAAGCTTGTACAAAGCACTTCCCAGTACTACATTGTACTACAAAGCTTGCACAAAGCACTTCCCAGTATACTGTGTACTACAAAGCTTGCAGAAACTACTTCCCAGTACTACTTTGTACTACAAAGCTTGCACAAACTACTTCCCAGTACTACTTTGTACTACAAAGCGTGCACAAAGCACTTCCCAGTACTACTTTGTACTACAAAGCTTGCGCAAAGCACTTCCCAGTACTACTTTGTGCTACAAACTGACATGACAACCTGCTTGGAAACCTTCGAGAAGGAGAAGTTTTGCAGCTTCCCCCAAAGACACGGCGACGCCACAGGAAAACCAGAGACTTGAGACGAGACACGTGGGCGCAGCAAAACGAGCATTTCGTGCGAGACTTCCTCCAATTTTGACACTTTCGACACGTTACCAAAATCATCAAATCACCAGCTCAACGCCATCTTACCTATATAACTAATCAACATACCCACAACCTGGAATTCCTAAAACAGGTACGACTTTGTCAGATGCCTGTATAATCTTTTGTCGATCATTGCCAAACTGAAAAACAAGATAATATTACAAACACACCTGGGGTTGCACGGTAGTTTGCAGAAAGCCACAAACTTGATGTGTGGGAAGAAACGACCGAGACATTGCCTTGCAGATTTGCAATGACACTGACACTGACACCCTCCAGCCCATCCTTGGCAGCTAGGACCTGCAAATTGTTGACCGGTGGCTCGTAATCGACACTCACTTGGTCGACCACCACAGAGCTTGGGCGGGTGCTGAGCAACGCGCTGGACCAGGAGCGCAAATGGATCCCTGAGAGACGTACCTTCTCCTTCGGGCAGGCAGCAAGGGAGAGAAGACCGGAGCTCAAGCGACCACTGGAGTTGAGGGCTGCATCCTCTGCAACATGGAAGGTGCTGTTTAAGCAAAGGGCAGAGCATCCACTGTTCTTGAGTTCCACCCCATGGCCGCCGACGACACCTTCAAAAAGAGCCTGCGACCGATCACGCAGGTGGAGGCAGCTTGCTGCTAGCACGCTGGACTTGCCGAGACCTTGGGCATGTTTCACCACCAAAGTAGACTGTGCTGAAAGCAGCACTAGACCATCTGCACGACCTCCGGAGCCTGATCCGGCTGCAGTGGAGTTGCCGATGGACATCGAGCTTCCATGTAAGAACAGCCTAAGAGCTGCAAAAGCACCACCATCTGCCCCTGCATGGGTGCTGAACATGGCCGCAGTAGACGCCTTAAAAACTGCCACTCCTTCTGCGCAAAACCCTGCACCAAACTGCTGGGCCCTGGCATCTTGGATGCCGACTGTGGAACTGCTGATCAACGTCCTGCCTCTGGCATAGAATCCTCCTCCAGACTTTCCAGCAAACGCATTCCGAACGATGAGTCTTGAGCCCGTGGACACCTTCAAGCCCTTTTCAGTGGCAAGACCTCCCCCGCTTCCAAATTCAGCGCGGCTGTTGGAAATGTTGATTGTAGAGTTCCCAGCTATCTCAACCCCTCCAAGGGCATCGAAACCTCCTCCAAAATTTTGCGCAGTCACGTTCTGAAGGCTGACACATGAGCTTTTGGTAACTTGCAAGCGCCCGTCACTGTGGAAGCCCCCCCCCAACCTCGATCTTGAATTGGAAATCCTGATGCTTGACATTTCATCAATGACAACCTCCTCAGCTGCAGCAAAACCTCCACCGTACTTCGGGGCCCTGGTATTTTCGATGCTGACTGTGGAACTGCTGATCAACGTCTTGCCTCTGGCAAAGAATCCTCCTCCATGCATTCCAGCTGTCGCATTCCGAATGATGAGTCTTGATCCAGTGGACACCTTCAAGCCCTTGTCAGTGCGAAAGCCTCCCCCATCTGATTCAGCGCGGCTGTTTGACATGTTGATGGTTGAGTTCGCAGCTACCTCAACCCCTCCAATGGCAATGAAACCTCCTCCATGACTTCCAGCAGTCATGTCCAGAAGGCTGACAACTGAGCTGTTGGTCACCTGCAAGCTTCCGTCCGTTTGGAAGCCTCCACCCTGCCCTGCCGATCTCGAGTTGGAAATGCTGACGCTTGACATCTTGTCAATGATAATTTCGTCGAGTGCCACAAAACCTCCACCATACTGCCGGGCCGTGGCATGATGAATGCTGACTGTGGAACTGCTGATGGAAATCCTGCCTTTGGCATAGAATCCTCCTCCAAACCTTCCAGCTATCACATTCCCAATGATGAGTCTTGAGCCAGTGGACATTTTCAAGCCCTTTTCACTGTCAAAACCTCCCCCATTTCCTGATCCAGCGCGGCTGTTGGAAATCTTGACCGTCGAATTCCCAGCTATCTCAACCTCTCCAATGGCAAGGAAACCTCCTCCATGGTTTCGAGCAGTCACATTCTGAAGGCTGACGACTGAGCTGTTGGTCACCTGCATGGCTCTCAGGGTTGAGAAACCTCCTCCATACTGTCCCGCTGTCGCATTCCGAATGATGAGTCTTGAGCCCATGGACACCTTCAAGCCCTTTTCAGTGGCAAAACCTCCCCCGTCTCCCGATTCAACGTGGCTGTTGGAAATGTTGACCGTGGAGTTCCCGGCTATCTCAACTTTTCCAAGGGCATTGAAACCACCGCCAAAATTTTGCGCAGTCACCGTTTGAAGGCTGACAACTGAGCTGTTGGTCACCTGCAAGAGCCCTTCCGTCAGGAAGCCTCCACCGCTTCCCGATCTTGAATCGGAAATGCTGACGCTTGACATCTCATCGACAGCTTCGTCAGCGGACACAAAACCTCCACCGTACTTCGGGGCCCTGGTATTTTGGATGCTGACTGTGGAACTGCTGATCAACGTCTTGCCTCTGGCAAAGAATCCTCCTCCATGCATTCCAGCTGTCGCATTCCGAATGGTGAGTCTTGAGCCGGTGGACACCTTCAAGCTCATTTCGGTGCCGAAACCTCCCCCATTTCCTGATCCAGCGCGGCTGTTGGAAATCTTGACCGTCGAATTCCCAGCTATCTCAACCTCTCCAATGGCAAGGAAACCTCCTCCATGGTTTCGAGCAGTCACATTCTGAAGGCTGACGACTGAGCTGTTGGTCACTCGCAAGCGTTTTCTGGTGGCAAAGCCGCCTCCGTATTCGGTGGATCTGGCATTCTGAATAAAAATCATTGAGTTGTCCTGATCCAGTCAGGAATGGCACAAGGACCGACGTCTTCGAAAGACACATTGTCTTTTGACAACATGCCCCTGAAAGGGGAAAAATCCCGTGGGGTGAATGTCAAACGCCATGATTGAGACTGCTTCCATCCCCAGTATGGCAGCGGATGAACTGAGTGCCCGACAGAAATGTAGACATTTCCCTTGACATGGAAGCCAGCACCATCCTTCGCTGAAATGTTCTCGATTACGATTTCGGAATCTTGGAGAACACTCCTTAAATTCAAGGAAGAAAAGCAGAACAGCAATTTAATCATCGTGCCAAACATCTTAGTATTAAAAATAAAAAAGATGCTGGCTCTATGCCCACAAGCAAAACACAATGAAAACGCAGAAAGTGCCACCTTCCCAAAAATGGAAGGCGACCACCATCGGTACCAAATTTTGAAGGCGAAACGAGCCGCCTTCCACATCACCCCGTACGCACCACAAAAGAGTAGCATCCTTTACGCCAGAAACACCACTCATGTTCCGGCCGCAGGCAAACCTGCATATCCTTCTCAATGGGTTAACCCTGGTGCATGGTGAACCCCACAATTTTACGGAAAAAATGAATCGTCCGAAAAAAGTTTGACTCGCCCGAAAAAATACGTCGAGTGATCCCGGCCTTCTATCTGGCATCTATATTCTGGCATCTACTCTAGGATTTTACCTGGCATTTTATCTGACATTATCTGGCATTCTCTCTGACATTCTCTTCTGGCATTCTCTCTATAGCGAGTCCGGCGCTGACCACTCTGATCCTGGGCTTGCTGTTCGGGTCCGGCAGGGACCGCTGCGATCTCGCGAATGCAGTTGAGGTCCGGCGAGGACCCCTCTCATCCTGGGCCTGCTGTTCGGGTCTGGAAGGGACCCTGCGGTCTCGCGCTTGTAATTGAGGTCCGGCAGGGAACACTCTGATCTTGGGCTTGCTGTTCGGGTCCGGCAGGGACCACTTGCATCTCGCGCTTGCTGTGGATGTCCAGCGGGGAACGCTCTATTGGGCTTGCTGTTCGGGCCCGGCAGGGACCACTGCGATCACGAGCTTGCAGTTGAGGTCTGGCGGAGGAGGAGAAGAAGGACGAAGAGGAGGAGGAGAAGGCCAGCTGACATAAAATCTAACAACCCTCACAGCTGACAGGTGGGGAAGTAATACCAGGAGATACAGAGGTGCCCCCCGAAAAGTAAGCAATTCCGAGCAATTTCCAGCTCATGTCATGGAACAACACAAACATTCAAGCCTGCTTGCTCAAATCCAGCTTCTTCGACAAAATCAACGTCTGTAACACCTACATTCTCGCCATGTTGATAAAATGGAATCCTGGACCACATGCTCCCAAATTGAGTTGGATAGTAGTACCAGTAGTACCGCACAAGGCGGTGGCGGAAGTTTCAAAAATAGGAAACCTATAGGAGAGGTTGGTTGTTGTGAATCAGGGATGGCAGAGCGAATCCACTGATGGACCGAAAGGTGCTTGAGGTCTCCCACTCTTTCTCGCTCTTTCTCTCACTATCTACCTACCTACCTATCTATGTATCGATCTATCTATCGATCTATCTCTCCCTCTCTCTCTATCTATCTCTCTATCTATCTATCTATCTATCCATCCATCCATCCATCTATCTATCTGTGGAGTGTAGTTGTAGTTGTAGTGTTGTGGAGTGTAGTGTAGTGTAATGTAGTGTAGTGTAATGTAATGTAATGTAATTTAGTGTAGTGGAGTGTAGTGGAGTGTAGTGGAGTGTAGTGGAGTGTAGTTGTATTTGTAGTGTAGTGGAGTGTAGTGTAGTGAAGTGAAGTGTAGTGGAAGGTAGCGTAGTGTAGTGTAGTGTAATGTAGTGTAGCGTAATGTAGTGCAGTGTAGTGGAGTGTAGTGGAGTGTAGTGGAGTGTAGTTGTGTAGTTGTAGTTGTAGTTGTAGTGTAGTGGAGCGTAGTGTAGTGTAATGTAGTGTAGTGTAGTCTAGTGGAGTGTAGTGCAGTGTAATATAGTGTAATGTAGTGTAGTGTAGTGTAATTTAGTGTAGTGGAGTGTAGTGGAGTGTAGTGGAGTGTGGTGGAGTGTAGTTGTGTAGTTGTGCAGTTGTAGGTGTAGTGTTGTGGAGTGTAGTGTAGTGTAGTGTAGTGGAGTGTAGTGTGGTGTAATGTAGTGTAGTGTAGTGAAGCGAAGCAAGCGACATCTGAACCTCCAAAAGTGGTCCGAACCCCTGCGTCTTTTTTTTAAACATGTTGACTTCGAAATGTGCTTTGCGCCACAACGGCGTGAACTTCCAAAAGTGCTCCGAGACCCAGGTGTTTTGTACATGTTCACTTCGAAATGTGCTTCGCGCCACAACGCTGTGCACTTTTTCGGCATCTCAACTTCCAAAAGTGATCCGAGACCGCCAGTTTTTAACACTTTTGACTTCCAAATGTGCTTCGCGCCACAACGGCGTGCACTTTTTCGACATCTCAACTTCCAAAACTGCTCCGAACCCCTCAGTTTTTAACACCAAATGTGCTTCGCGCCACTACGCCGTGCACTTTTTCAACATCTCAACTTCCAAAACTGCTCCGAACCCCTCAGTTTTTAACACTTTTGACTTCCAAATGTGCTTCGCGCCACTACGCCGTGCACTTTTTCGACATCTCAACTTCCAAAACTGCTCCGAACCCCTCAATGTTTAACACATTTTACTTCCAAATGTGCTTCGCGCCACTACGCCGTGCACTTTTTCAACATCTCAACTTCCAAAACTGCTCCGAACCCCTCAGTTTTTTAACACATTTTACTTCCAAATGTGCTTCGCGCCACTACGCCGTGCACTTTTTCGACATCTCAACTTCCAAAACTGCTCCGAACCCCTCAGTTTTTAACACATTTTACTTCCAAATGTGCTTCGCGCCACAACGCCGTGCACTTTTTCAACATCTCAACTTCCAAAAGTGGTCCGATCCTGGGGTGCTTTGTACCTTTTCACTTCGAAATCGGCTTCACGCCACAACGGCGTGCAACTTTTCATCTCTCATCTCCCCAGATGTCTCCGCACCCGCCGCTTTAGCGAGCCTACTTTTCAACCCTCCGGAGCCACAAAACCACAAAATTACTTTACTTCGTGTGATCCCCACCATGACATTTATACATTTTCTTACTGGCAAATCTTCTGGCATTCTATCTGACATATCTTCTGACATTCTATTTGGCATTCTATCTGGCATATCTTCTGGCATATGATCTGGCATATCTTCTGGCATTCAATCTGGCATTCAATCTGGCATATCTTCTGGCATATATTCTGACATATCTTCTGGCATTCTATCTGACATATCTTCTGGCATATATTCTGACATATCTTCTGGCATATCTTCTGGCAAATCTATCTGGCATATCTTCTGGCATATTTTCTGGCATTCTATCTGGCAAATCTTCTGGCATTCTATCTGGCATTCTATCTGGCATATCTTCTGGCATATCATCTGGCATTCTATCTGGCATATCTTCTGGCATATATTCTGACATATCTTCTGGCATTCTATCTGGCATTCTATTTGGCATTCTATCTGGCATATCTTCTGGCATATCTTCTGACATTCTTTCTGACATTCTTTCTAACTTTCTTCTGCGCATTCTTTGTCCCATACCTTCCTACATGAGGTCCGGCAGGGAACACTTGGCGTGGATACTCGCGGTTGAGGTCCGGCAGGGAACACTGGGCGTGGATGGTCGTGGTTGAGGTCCGGCAGGAACACTGGGCGGGGATGATCGTGGTTGAGGTCCGGCAGGGAACACTGGGCGTGGATGGTCGTGGTTGAGGTCCGGCAGGGAACACTGGGCGTGGATGGTCGTGGTTGAGGTCCGGCAGGAAGCAGGAGGAGAGGAGACGAGGAGAGGAGAGGAGAAGAGAGGCGAGGAGGAGGAGGAGAAGGAGGACGAGAAGGACGAGAAGGAGGAGGACGAGGAGGAGGAGGACGAGGACGAGGAGGAAGCAACTGACATAAAATCTAACAACCCTCACCTGGCAGGTGGGGAAAAACACAGTGTTTCGCGACTTTCCTACCTTTTCACGCACCTGCGTCTTCTTTCTGATCTTTTCTCTTCTGACTCTTCTCCCTGCTGACTGCTTTTTCATCTCTCCATATTGTCGGAAGTTTGACTTCTAAACTTCCTTCGGTTACTGTATCTCTTATTGGATCAAAAATTCTCACATGCCATCAGGTCCCATTGCATCTCACTGCATCTCGCTGCATCCCACCGCATCTCACAGCCCAACAACATTCAATGACCACATCTGCTCCCTACTATGCCACCCAAGATCAGGTCTCCATCAGCGGCGAAGCCACCGCCGCTCACGGCTGCGGCGCCCCTCACCTTCGTTGGATGTTGCAGCATCCCAACTTCGTGTCCACAGCCATCGTTCAACAGCTTACTCTGAAGTTTACCAAGGCGTTCCAAGCCCATGTGGTTTCAATAGTTCCTTTCGAACACAAAAGATCAAACACCATCAAACACCTGGTTTAAAGACAAGTCCAAGGAGCTGTCAGATGGGATCTGGTCAAAGTGAATGACCCGTTGCTGAAAAAGGCGCCACCAGACTCGGTAGAGTTTGGATCGGATAGACCTTCATGCCACGCTTCCACGTGAGCATCTGCAAAGTTCACAGTCCTCAGTTGAATCCTTCACGGTCTCACACGGCACCCTGAACTCTGCATAAAATAAATCCGAACTCCCCCATTCTGCATGTATCTTTTTGCAGATTCTATAAGAAAAGAAAATCGTTTGTGATGCACTATAAAATAGTAACATATAATATGATATAATAACAGCCACAAATAGTTCTGGACTCGCTGTTCGCTATGTACAACCTCTCGTGCAGGCAAGGTTCTTGGCTGCCAGGCGGAGAGAAGTCATCTGAATTTGCCTTGGGAGCTGCGCGAAGTTTCTGCACCGATTAATTATATCCATGGAATCTAACGAGTGTCAAGGGTCAAACTACATCCGTTGAAGGAACTTTGGAAGATGCTCTGAAAGAACAACAAAGCTTGCCAAGCACTTCTAGATGACCAAGCAGGTCCGCGACCAAACTTGGCTCAGAACCATCTTGGAATCAGACATGATTTCCTCTAAGGCACCCGGTGATGCGTAGCTCCCCGGATGTCAAGGTCAGAATTCCCGCTGTGGCAGGCCGGAGCTGCGCAGGCGCCCCGTGGCGCCCGTGGGGCCCTTGCAGCTCGCAGAGCGGAGCTGCCACGGTGGGCCTCAGTCGTAGTTCCACCAACTGCTCCAATAATATATTGAGCATATATGCTCCAATCCGAGCTTTCTTACAGGACTCCATAGGACTCCTCTATAGCTAGCGGATATTTGCACAAAGTCAGGTTCAAGGCTTGGGGAAAATGGGAAAAGAGCGCAACTGACACTTCTGAATTTCCCACAAGCAAGCGCTGCATGTCTTCACCAGGACTGTTTAACACAGAGCATCTGATGTTCAGTGCAGTGCATTGCTCCCTATATCTCAAAAATTCCCGAAACAACTCTGTCCAGCTCTGTCCATGCTCTGTCCAAACAATTAGGCAACCTGCAACAAACCCGCAAGCATCACACTCCTCCGATCCGCTGTCACCAAGCGACTGGAGTTGAAAGCACGACCCGGCCGTCAACTTTTTCCGTTCACAAAGTTCGGCCCAGCCAATCACCTCACAGTCATGCAAGCAGGAACTGTGCAACTCGGTGATGTGTGTCTCCGGTCCGCTTGGAATATCATTACCGAAGCAGGTCAAACTTGATTTATAACACTTTAGTATAGGATTTTCCAGGAATTCAAATGGAAAACTACTTGAACCTCACAAGACATCGGTTTTCCGTGAGGCAAGGCCTGCCTGCAAACGCCTGGCACCCGCTCCACTTCCCGGTTGGGGCACAGGGTGGCTACCTTCCAGTGCCCCGGAGTGAATCAAGCAGTCCAATCGGAAAACGCTGGGAATTGGAGTTGCGAGTTGCCACTCCATTAACATTGGCAAAGATAGGCAAAGACCGCAAGGTAGATATTGTGGCAACATAACATATCTATAGTTTTCCGTTGTAGTCAAACATGCAGTGACATGCGATGCAATCTCCACGATTGACGAAGCAGAATCCTTGGTTCCAGACAAACGGCTTGGCCAAGCGCAGCTGAGGTGCTCTGCTGTCCAGTGAACTGCTTCGAGACACGCAGCTCAGCAGAGGCAAGAACGAAGAGAAACGTCGCCAGGAGCAATTGCATCATCCCGCATCATGACGCGTCACGCCGCATACTGTGGTTCTTTTTGTGGATAAAAAATGCAACTAAGCACCATTACTTTAGCAAGTGCAATGTGCAGGCGTTGTACTCACCGTACAGTTTGAATGCTGCATCCTGTTGTTCAATATTCTGTCATGGATCATGTTTGTGTGCTTATCTGGCTGATTCAGCTAGTGTAGCTGTTTATCAAAAAAATCTGGTCAGGCAGGTAAAGCATGCAGGCAAACGTCGTTCATGAGCAATGCTACGAAACCGTTGAGTTTCAAAGCTTTGAGCCGCGCGCGGCATGCACATGTCAACCACAAGAGCCCATAGAGGATGGGGGAAGGGCAGATTCACCCTTTCCAATGAAACTTCAGGCAGTCGGTCCAGGGACGACCCTCACAACCATTGGTAAAACACAAGGAAGAATGAGGATGCAGGAGGATATGATAATCGTGGTGCTGGGTGTTTTAGATGATGACCAGGGCCCTAAAGAGATGCTTGCTGCCAGTGTCAGCACAAACTTTCCTTCTGACGAGTCGCTTGCTCAAATACTGCACCACCGATTCTGCATCGCTGTCCATCGGTTGCTGTGCTATTGCATGTTCTGCAAATCGTTAGGTTTGCGTTGGAGACAGGGTAATGCTTCAAGGATCACAGCAACACATTTGCTCAGAGCGGTGGTTGTGACCCGTGATTTGGCGTGTTTTTCGGGAATAAAACAGGAGCATACCAAGAGCACAGTCGAACCTGATGCACAAAAACAACATCTCTGAGTGAGTTGTGTCCTTCTTGCCTGCAATTTTAATCTCAAAAAGAACAGGCTGCCCATTCCACAAACAAACGGTCTAAAAAAACCTTCCAGCCACAGCAGCACATGATACCCGGCGTGCGGTCACAGTAAAAAGTCTTATAAATTCTTGGATAAAAAAAAAAACTGAACATGCATAGGCTGGTGTCACCTGAATCTCTCCCTTTCGCAGGCGCGACATTACACTCTGCAGAGTGCTGTTTTTTTTGTCACTGGTAGCAGAAGTCCCCGGCCAACGTGGCAGTCGCTGTTGTGAGCAGCTCCTGTTGCGCCAGAAGAGCATGGTCGGTGCAAATTTTGAGCCATAGGCACATCGCATTTCTGCGGAACACATCCCATCAATATTGCTCGCGGGTTAAAATGTCATGCAACGGTTATTCAACGGTCCTATGTTTGTTCATTGTTGCCCGTATCAAATGACATGATGTTTGCCCCTGGTAAACTCCAGACTGCTCACAAACAATTCAAGGGTTTCACACCCCCAAAGTCTTTTTTTTCCCCTCGCCCTGCCGCATACTATACCTACCCCACAACTTGTCATTGCAGAGAAAAGCCCACGTCGCTGGTCCTCTGGGGGTGGCGTCTTTGGGCACTCTTGGGTGCAGCTTAGGTGCCTCACGTTGGCTTTGAGACATGCCACTGGGTTCAAACATTAAAGAAATGCCAACTGTACGATGAACGGACATGGGGGATGTAAACACAAAAAAACACCAAACATATTCAAACATGAAATTGAATACCCAGACAACTCAACTGCACAAGCTCTGCACTTTAAGGCTTTGGATGTTCTATGATTTTCGTGGCGCAGCTTCCAATGCACCCGGTATGCCCGGTATGCCCCCAACAAAGATGGACAAACACATATACAGGTCAGTATCTCCACCTGCTCCGCACGTTTCTGCACAATCCAGGAGGATCATCCTCAGTACCACACGAATGTGACACGTCAAGGACGAGAACTTACCATAAAATACCGAGATGATTGAGATGATGGCAAGAAATAACAGTGGCCAAAGTCTCAAGTCACAGGTAATTCTGATTGCTTTATCATACTTTTTCGCCAAAAACCGAAACTACATTGACACGACAACCGCGAATGTGAGGAGTCCTGTCTTGATCTTTATACAACTATGGCTCTACTATGCAAACACAAAAACAACTTTCCGGAGCAAAACAGCAACTTCATCTGTTAAAGGATCGCGTCCTTTACCAAGCTTGGGCCCAGTCAGCCAATAGCATGACTTGTTGAGGGTGTTGCCCACGTGCATTAGAATATTATAGTTTGCATGAATTCACATCGCTGTTCATTCCATCCTTCATACTGAGACACAATGGTGGACCAACAGATCCATGTATACTCAGCAGAGAACGCCGCATGGAACATAGCACCAATCCACGCACTGACACCGTAAAAAAAAAACAGTGGATTTGCACAACATGCGAAAAGCAGAGGCGGAGTCAATCACATCTCATCTAAAGTCTACATGTCCCACCCTTGGGTGCCAATTTAGGCAACCTTCCACTGTGGTCACAAGGCAAAAAGATGGGGCACACTTGCGCCTTCCTCAGGGTCTACGTCAAAGCATTTCTGTCCCTGTTGAGAAATCGGCAGCTGCCAATCTCTGGGCGATTTTTCGAAGCCACATGAGGTGCCAAAACTCATTCGCTGCCAGCTGTGGGCTAGCTCTGTTGGACGAGTCACGGTCTTATGCGTGCTCAAGAAGTCACAACATGCAGAAAATTTGCAGAAAATTGGATAGATACAATAATAATAGTATAATAAATTAAATAGATCTTCCAGAAACTGAAAGCAACAATAACTAAAAAGTCTCTTCATACAGCGTTGCGTCTGTGTCTGTTGCGCTGCCCTGGCCAAGGCTATCGACAAGACTTCCAGTTGCCTTTTCCACATTGGCCAAATTTCGCATCAGCATCTGAGCCATGAGCTTTCGAATTTGATCATCCTTTCGCTCAAGGCTTCCCAACTCGGAGATGATGTAATCGAAGATGTCTTTCCTGACATGGTCCCAGCATGAACCCGTGCAGCTCAAGGGTCGGGTGCTACTTTGTAGTTCAACAACTACCATTGGTAGATGATCTCAAATAATTATATCACATCGAACTTGCGTTCTACTAAAGCTCCATCAGAAATGTGGCGTGCAGATTTGGCAATTTGGTTGAGTCGAGCGTCTTGTCTTTCTCAGAAGATGCCCCACACGTGGCAACTTGCAGAGACTTGATCTTCTTACCCACCTCTAACGCAATGTCAAAGGAGCTGCAGCCATCCTGCAGTGAAGGGCACGGAGGCATGTCATATGATCAAAGGAAGTTTAGGGGGAGAAACTTCCGTGTTACGGACTTTTAGAATGTCAGGGAAAGAGTTAGTCAACTGGGGTGATGTTAGTGAAGGTAAAAAGTGCAGAGTCATTTTTAAGAAAATTACATAGTCATGAAATCGGTAATTTATTATTATGTTATCACCGGTAATTAATCTGGATGATTTTCATTTGAATGGGGATGTTTAGAATTCATAATGATAAGATAAATGGTGCTGACGGGCTCATACTTCCCAATTCTTAGGTTAGTTATATATAATAACTAAATTGTTACCACAATTACCCCAATTGGTTTATTATTTAGGGATATATTAACTATGTTATTACTACCCATTATTATTATTATAGTTTATTACCCCAATTAAACTAGGTTAAACCAATTACCCCAATTTATTATGTAGAGAAAATGAACGGTTCATTTTCCTGATATGAAAAGGTGATTATTATAAATTACGACTATATAACCTATGGAAATGCCAAGGGAAAATGAACCGTTTATTTTCTCAATCATCATAGAATTATCTTAAATAAATTTCCCCCAACCACCAAAAAAAATATCCCACAGCCGCTGGCTGCCGCTGCTGTGGCGCCCGGCGGCTTCTGGAGCCACCGCCGGGGCCTCAGCGGTTGCCGCGATCCTCCTCCTCCTCCTGCTCATCATCATCACCATTATCATCATCACCATCATCATCACCATCATCATCATCACCATCATCATCATCATCACCATTATCATCATCATCATCACCACCACCATCATCATCACCATCATCATCATCATCACCATTATCATCATCATCATCATCACCACCACCATCATCATCATCACCATCATCATCATCATCGCCATCATCATCATCACCTTCATCATCATCATCATCACCATCACCATCACCATCATCATCGTCATCGTCATCGTCACCATCAGCATCATCATCATCATCACCATCATCATCGTCATCGTCATCAACATCATCACCATCATCATCATCATCACCATCAACATCACCATCATCATCAACATCATCATCACCATCATCATCATCATCCTCATCATCATCGTCATCATCATCATGGGGACGTGGTAACTCACACGCACTCCCAGGGCTACCACCCCCTGGGGACGTGGAGAAACACACGCACCCCCATCATCATCATCATCATCATCATCGCCATCATCACCATCATCATCAGCATTACCATCATCATCATCATCATCACCATCACCATCATCATTTGCATCACCATCATCATCATCATCATGATCAGAATCATCATCATCATCGTCATCATCATCATTATCATCATGATCAGAATCGTCATCATCATCATCATCATCATCGCCATCGTCATCAACATCATCACCATCACCATCATCGTCCCCATCGTCCTCATCATCCTCATCCTCCTCCTCATCTTCTGTTAGGGTTTCAGATGTTTTCCCAATATTTACTGATTATTTAACTATAATTTTCACTTGGCAATAACGAATCCCAAACTGGATTTCCCTGTTTGAATGATAATCACATGTTCATGTCCACATGTTTGAGTGATTCAACCACTGTGATCTCCTCCCAATCCACCGAGATGCCCTTTTTATCCCTTTTTATTTCATTGGATCCTTTGCATCACGTGACCAATCCATTGATCGGTTCAACTGATAGACTATCCTAGCTGCCAGCGGGAGGGGCCACGCATTCCCCAGAGCAGCCCCCAGCTGCGCGGCTGTCAACTCCCCAGGCTCAACTGGGAGCCACCCTTGGATTGCCGCCTTCTCCTGGTGATGAGGCATGTATCACATTAAATTATCTGCGACCTCCCCCAAATGGTGAATGGTCAATGGTAATTTCAGGATCCTAAAATGGAGGTACTGTACCATATAATAATAATAAATAACAATAATTAATAATTATTATTATAATAACATAAGGCCTTTACATAAGCCTTATATATGGTAGGTACCTCCAATTTAGGTTCCTGAAATGGACATTGAAATGGTGTTTTGTGAAATCGACCTTAGCGAGTTTTTGTGGGATAGCTTAACTTAGTTGTTTGTCCAAACAGGCTCCTGCAAGTTCATGTATCGCCCATGGCTCGTGATCCAGAATGATTGACCCCCTCCACGAGCACGGGTCAAACATGGGGACCTCAGAAAACAATCAACGGGTTGCATTGACTTGGATTGATCTTTCATGGTGGTAATGATTTTTGGTATGATCTTGGGATGGATTTGACTCATAGAAAAACATTTATTATCATAATTTTAATAAGATGAACGGCTGAATGATTTCTGAGACACCCAGTTGGGAAAAACTTTAAATGGATCGTATCAATCAACTTCGAACCAAGCCGCACTTCATAACTTGGATTTCCCTGGAACTTCTTGCTCGCGGCACAGTCTACGACCCTTAGATAGTGAAACAGAATGCGGTCTGGAAGATTTCGACACCAACTCAGTTGGTTGAAAACCTGGTGTTGGCAACTCTTCAACCACCAAACAACGGACGAGCGCATGGTTTGCCCAAGAGTCCAGCACTCCTTGGTGTCGAAACCCTGGTCGTGGATGAACTCTAATCCATCGCGCAGCCGCTTCCGCCCAGAGTCAGTCTTTGGGAACTTGATTTTTTTGCTTTTCCTGCAATGGTTATGATTAATAATTACGGTGGAACATATCGATTTTTGAATTCAACAGAATGCTGGCCAAATATGATGATCTAATGATCCACGTATGTTCATTCACACTACGGACCCAAACCATCAAAACACGTCCTTCCCAGGAAGTTGCTCAGCTTGATTTTTTTGGCCCATGGCAAAGGGAGAGGAAAATGGAACTTTCCTTGGTTGCAATGATACTAAAAAAACCGGATGGGAATAACAACACCAATCGGATGGGCAAATGTGTGGGTCAACAGTTAGTTTGTTTAAGATAGAGAATCCATGAATCATTAATCATAAAAATGCCCGTGAGTAAATGGTTGAAAAATCATTCCCAGCCTGTTGAAACAACAATTGAGTCTTGATAGCTACTAGAATAAGACACTTGACATTGAACAATATTAATAAGCAAATGATGGAACCAAAACAAACCAAACGTCCCAACCTCACATGTCCAGGCGCTTCTCGTGGCATACTTGTTCGTCCCCACGATCCACAGCCGTTCACGCCGCTGGGGGAGCCCAGCATATCCAAAAGCATCCATGACCTGCAAGTGGGAATCCATGACTACTATTATTTGATGGTCCGGGTCAATAATAAGTAGATTACTTGGGTAATTTAATCGAGGTGATCAATAATCAAATAGTATGAAATAAAATAAAATCTCTAATGATTTGGAACAAGGCCAGAGGCTCTATGATTTAAAGATGGCATAAGTTTTGATTAGGTGGCTGCATCATCCAGCCTTCCACTGCACATCGTAGTGGCCATCAGCAGAAAGCCTGGGCCAAATGAAGTTGAACTCATGATCTTTGGGAAGTAGTTCAGACATAAAAACATATAATTTGAATGAAGATAGTGAGTTACGATATTATAATAAGTGATTGTCATTGAATGTGATAATAAGAATAAGTGTATTATTTCAGAAATTATAAGGTCCAAGAAACAGCCTGAGCAACCGCCGAAAGAATTTGACATTTTTTTTGTAGGTGAGGCCCTTCACATTCTCAAGGATATATGTATCCGGAAGCCACCGGCGGATTCTTCGAACAACCCCATTTGAAATGACAGGCTGTATTTCTTGAGAAAAAAACGAATGAATAATAATGGGTTAAAACATGTGATAAACAATGATAATAATAACAATGCAGCTTCAATGATGATAATGGGGAAATCAAATTCAACTTAGCAACAGCCTTGGCTACACTAGCCCTTCTGTCACGGGAACCTTGTCTCTTCCCAATTGCCGAAAACGGTTGGCATGGAAATCCAGAGCCATAGATGTGAATGAGCTGGCGGATACCTGAGAGCGGCTGAGAGGCCCTCAACAATTTCTGCGAAGATTTTGCGGACGCTCGACTTGACAAGGATTGGGTGACCAGTCGCGTCTGGCAAACAACATACTTAATCTATGGCGGTTCGAGGCGGTACACCGAGTCAAAGGTTGCGAACCCAGGGAGCATGAGAAGGAGACTGATTGCAAGCCAGGTTGCCTCTGATTTTTTCGCAGTTCTTTGATAGGATCTCCGGCTTGTATAAGGATTTCAAGCGGTCCCGTAATGGTCCATCACTTTCGCTCATGTAGTAGGGTTCAGGTTTCAATCCAACCATCCTCAGAAATTCAACGATGGACTGATGGACATTTACAATAATCACTGGGGTTGGGACTGAACATAATTAATTAATCTGGAAATACCACAGTTCAAAAGTAGTCAGTTGGAAACTTAATATACAATTGGATAAGATGATAACTGGGGGTTTGATTGAAACAAATCCTAAGATCATCCAAGGATCTTACAGCATGGGACTAGTGGCCCCAATCCAGCGCAATCTTCGGCAATGACCAGTTTTCTGGGTTTTGGCCAACGATCTTCACCGGCCATGGCAAATAATTAGAAGGAGCAAAAGTGTAGTAATACAGTTAAGATATAAACCTGGGGATTTACAGTAATCATTAATATGCTGGAATTTCGTAAAATAAAATGAATTGAATGGTAAAAATATATTATCATTTTTTGTATGCCCATAATTCAGAGTGAAGCGGTGTCAAAATAATTTGGCTTATTTATGTAAATGTTGCTCCGCCACTTGATCCACAGAAAGAAAAACATGGTCCCATGGTACAGTACCCGAAGTGACTGCATCATTGACAATTGAATGTTGCAATTCCATGCAACTTTGCATGTAAAAATAAAAGATGTGATTTTCACATATTTTCACACAGCGCAATGATTATTTAATTTTTCCCCGGGGTGCGTAGATCATTTGAGGGTTTAACCCTTAGCATCATGGTTTCGCTTCGCAACCATGACGACCAAGATCCTAAGATCAAAACTTGGGAGATCGGGATCATCTCCTCGCTAGCTGAGCTGAATGGCCCATTCTAAGCCGCAGGTTCTGCGCAGCGGGGGGAACAGCGACTTGCCGTCCTATGTCTTGCAGGTGCTTTGACACCTGGCTCCCCACATATCCCCCATCAGCCAAGAAAAAATCTTATGAATTATGAAGATGATTTCAAACCATTGACATTGACTTGTTGATTAATGTAATGATGTAAATAATGATCATTCAACAAAATCTGACTGAGGAATGTTTTAGTTGTTAATTCCTATTTTATTGATTTTTTTTGTGGGAAATTTGGCTGATTCAAACGCCCCGGGCATTGTGGGTCCATGGGGTTATAGCGCAGCATCACATCAGGCCCTTGAGCTTGTCCAGAACATTCTTTGCCTGTTTGTTTCCGGCCTGCATGACGTGCAAAGGGGCAAATTGTCATTGTATGATCGTATTTGGTTGGATTCGTCTCTGAATTTGGCATCTAGATATTTGTTATTAAAATGGGCTTAGTGAAAAATTATGCACATAATGATGCCCAGCCTTGGGACGTCCCTTTGCCTTGGGTGCTGACTTCACTCCCTTGCGCTTGCCCTTTCCTTTGCCTTTGCCTCGGCCGGTCTTGGTGCCAGCTGAGCTGGAGCTCTTGCGTTTGGTTCCCTGTTTCGGTTCCTCCTCATCCGGCTCAACTTCTCCTGCATCCTCATCTGCATCTTCCTCCTCCTCATCCTCCTCCTGATCCTTATCATCATCGTCCTCGCCTAAGTCATCTTCTTCCTCCAAATCCTCATCATCGTCCTCCTCCTTATCCGGATCCTCCTCCTCGTCATCATCATCCTCATCATCATCTTCCTTTTCTTTCTTCTTCTTGGCATTCTTTGTCGACCTGGTCTTTGCCTTTGCCTTGACACTTGCCTGGAGCGAGTGCACATAATCAAGGATGGGCATGACATGATTCAAATAAAATGGTTCTAAAATAATCCACGATGATAATATGATAATAACAATAACCATTATATAATCATGTCAATGTCATGGATAATTTAACAATCCAATCAACATCAGGAAAGAACTTGGGTACCCAGTTTGCTGCTGAAACAGGTGGACAGCGGTCCTTTCGGTTTCCCTTCTGGCCACTGAAGATGGCGGCAAGCAGGGGCTCATAGAGTGGGCTTTCGGGCTTCATCATGCCATCCCAGCATTTGGCCTCCAACCTCTTCATCAGTTCATTGACCTAGGTTCTGTTGCGGGCGACAACCTATCATAACTCAGCTAAATCAAAGGGATTCAGTTTATCTCAAAGTTCGTCATTCCTTGAATTTATCCAGGGCCCCATGGATGTTGTGATGGCATATGTTGATCGTGGGTTCAACGGAATTTGATGGAGACTCAGCCCATATGATTTACTGATTTACTGTATCTTCAAATTTAACTACATTGAATGAATGTACTTAAATTTGAAGATACATTAAATGTATATAGTTAAACTTGAAGATACAGTAAGTTAGTGTCAAGGTACATGCTCCTGGGTGAAGCATACGCCAATATAAGGCACCCTTTGCTGAATCGCTTCCCACGCCGTTTTTCCATCACCTCATTTGGGTTTGGAAAGTAGGCCGGTCAAACCCAGAAGATAATGATTCTGCAAGGATTTTTGGCTTCTGAACCTGATCTGTAATTATGATAATCGATCGAAAGTTATGTTTAGTTTAATTGACTGTCATTGTTCTGCGCAAGTGACAGCATGACAAATCCAACATAGCACAGATGTTGAACTCGTGGAAGATCTCACTCACCTTATTTATTGGTGGGTATTCAACATATAAGGATGGGTCAATCATATAATATTATGTGGGCCCTGATATATTAATATGAAAATCGAATATTTGTTTTTATAAATAGATATTGTTAATTAATATGATATTATAATATATATTTATAATTTATATATATATATATATTATATACTTTTTTATCATAAGTTATATATAAAATAACTTATGATAAATTATAATATTATGTATCTGGGATACCTTATTACCTTATTATTAGGGATACCACAATCATATGGAAACTCAACAATGGTGATGATGATGCTGATAATGACGATGATGGTAATCCATAAAAAAAGAACAATGTTCAATTGGAAGGAAATCTGGAACAAACCATGGTCGTGACGACAACTAGACCCGGGAAGTGAGGCATCTAAATTGATATTACAATCATGTTGGCGATGGGAAGATCATCATAATCAATATCGAAATAGGTTTACGTTGATTCTGATTCTGAATGATTTATATCTTAAGTTAATCTTTTGATGATCTCCTCATTCAGGGGTTTCTTTGTCATCAGTCAGATGCTACCCAAGACGCCACCTCAGATGGCAAGGCGTGATACGCCACTGGTTCCACATCGGTGTCCAAGCGCCTGGCACCTCAGGAAAACGACTTGGGACATGTTGGTCAAAACAGCCCTGATAAGAAAACCTCAAGGGTGGTTGTTTCAAATGTTTCAATGATTCATTGATGGGATTTACAGTAAGAATTACACCAAGTTGGTGAAATGAATGGGGCTTTCACAAACTAATTGCAACAAAGAAACTCTTCTCAGACTCCCCGTCAGGCTTTTCGCCCCCCACCCTGATCCGGTTGCTGCTCCCAAAGAGATCCTTCTTCTGTTGGTAGGTCATGTTCCATGTCTCCTCCTCATCCTGGGCCACGGCCGATTCAAATTTAACGGGTATAATAAAATTATCATAAACGTCTATGATTATTATGATGATGAGGATGATTACGATGTTGGTGAAAGTATATTTCACCGTCATCGTCATTATCCTCATAATCCTCACTCATAACCACCATCATCATCATCGTCATCTTCATCATCACCATCGCCATCAACATCATAGTCACCATCACCATTAGCATAGTGGCTATCATCATCATCAACACCATTTGAACCCAAGATTCATCCCAAGCGGGTGCCATGATGGGACCGATCACATCACCATGAGTGGTTCCAGCAAAGTGTTTTCGCTTTTTGAAGCTCAGGGCTTGCTGCTCCGGTAACAAGACGTAGAGCTTCTCCATTTGGTTGACCAGCGCTCCTCTTGAACGCTTTTTCTTGGTTCGGATTGCCTTCTCATCCCAAACCAAAAACTTCATTGTCTTGTACTTGCTGATTGTCTCTGTTGCAGAGGGCCGGACTGCTCCAAGAAGGGATGTGGCCAGTCCTCATGTTCAAGAAATTTCTATGACCTTCTTTGGTTGGCTTGATTTGGTCTTAGAATCTTTGTGACATTATTGGGGGCGTCTTAAGTGGACGAACATTTGGTTTTTAAAACATGATGTATATATCCTTTATCCTATAACATTTGGAGGCGCCACCATTTTAGATTACTTCATGAGCCAAGAAGCCATCCCTGCCCCCATCCATAATCAGAAAGCCGTCACCCTGAACCATGGTGTTGGCTTCTTTGTCCACTCTGAGGGAGAGAGCCGCTGAGAACAGCTTGTTGTGGCGTCCCTCCCTTAAGGGTGGCAAGCGCAGGTTGGCTTGGCAATTCGTTTCTCCAACCACCTTTGAGTCCTTAGAGGGACGTAGACTTAGATGTGGGATAATAGTAATTGAACCAACCCGGTTTCTGAAACTTGGGAGTTAATCTTGAAAAGGGGACGGTTTGAAGGTAGCATGATTTGATAGATAACTTTGAAGGGAATGATGATGCTTGATTACATAATACCCCAAATTTAATCAACTGACATGTAACTCCAAATAATAAAGGATATCCCAAATGGTGCCCACGCCAGGAATCAAAGTAGATCGCCACCATCTTCACCACCTGGTTCCTGATGTGCGGGGGATGATAGGATACCTTAAAAATGGGAAAAGCAAAATACCAAAATCAAATTCCCAACAAAACCATTTGGGCTGCACCTTTTTAATAAAAATCAAAGTGTCGTTTCAGGGTCAACTTCACCCTTCCATTTCGGGAATGCAGTCGCACCCAAGGCTTTGGTCATATTGGAAAGGTTGTCCTGACAACAGCGACATTAGAGGGACCTTATTTAATAATCGACGGAAGTTTAGAAGTCAAACTAATATGGATGATGAAAAGCAGAGATGGGAAGGGTCAGAGAGAAGAGAAGAGAAGAAGAGAGAAGATGACAGAAGAGAAAGAGTCAGAAGAAAGAAGATGCAGATGCGCGAAAAGGTCGGAAAGTCGCGAAACACTGTGTTTTTTCCACTGATTTGTGGTATAGTTTTCCAGGAGGTCTCTGTGAGGTACAGAATGGCCCCATGATCGCAACTGAGAAGTTTTCGGTTGGGCTTGAATTTTTCATTCCTGAGACCTCCATGCAGCCCCACATTGCCCTCCAAATGACCCAACATGGACCCAACATAGACCCAAAACGGCCCAACATTGGCCCGACATAGCCCCAAAAAGTCACCCAAAATACACCTCAACGGACAAGCTTTCCCGTTGGGGTTGGTTTTTTCCATCCAGAAACCTCCATGGAACCCCACAATTTGTGGTTCCGGAGGGTCGAAAAGTAGGCTCGCTAATTTTGCTGAGATGATTCTGCGTGACAGGTGCAGCACTTCGTATGACCTGGCATCACTTTTTCGTGGCAAGCGCAGTACTTTCGACAGGTGGACTACAAAAATCGCAAAACGCAATGGTACGAGGCTGTCAGCTCTGCACTCAACTTTCCATTTTTGAACTTCCAAATTTCCTGTCGGGCTCAGATCGCCCCGCACACAGATTCCCACAGTTATCTAGGGCTAAATGCTTGTGGGGCCTTTGAAAATACCCGGTTTGGCCCCCGATAAAAATGAAATTTCAGGCCTGCAGGAAATTTACTTGCCATTTTGAAGGAGGTCTCGCAGTGCTTTGTTTTTGATGCTGTCAAGTTCAAAAAATGAAGAAGTCTTATTACTCGCTTTAATTCTTGATGTTGTCAACTTCAAAGAATGAGGAAGTCTCGCAGAAGAGCTTCGTTTTCAAGCTTGCAGATAGACAGATAGATAGACAGACAGACAGAGATAGATAGAGAGATAAATAGTTTTTTTGATCGATAGATAGATAGAAATATAGGTAGGTAGATAGATAAGTAGATTAATAGACACATAATAGTTAGATAGATAGATAGATAGATAGACAGACAGACAGATAGATAGATAGATAGATAAACAGATAGAAAGAAAGAAAGATAGATAGATAGATAGACAGACAGAGAGATAGATGGATACATAGATAGATAGGTGGGTAGGTTGGTAGACAGTCAGAGAAAGAGACAGAAAAAGAGAGAAAGAGAAGATAGCTTAACCACCTGTCGGTCCATCAGTGGCTTCGCTCTGCCATCCGTGATTCACAACAACCAACCTATCCTTTATAGGTTTTCTATTTTTGAAACTGCCACCGCCTTGTGCTACATAAGTTAAAATACCGAATTCCCCCAAACCATCTAGTAGGCCATCATGGTGTGGGATAAAGACGGGATACATGATGGGATAAATAATATAATAAAAATAATAATTTAAATAACGTAATTAAGCTACGGGATGATAATAAAAAGGGATAATATATAAATGGGGATTAAATAGTCAAGTGGAATTATAATTGACACTGTAGTACAAGTAATCATAGATGATAATAATTACTAAATTAAAAGATGATCATATATTATGACAGTGATCGGTCTTGGGAAAAATCAAAACAATGTTGCATGGGTCGACTTTAACATTTCTTTGTAAAAGGATAAGACTAACCCAGAAAGAATAGTCCTCCTCAACAATGAGCTTGATGTGCGTCCGGACCATGGCACACGCCTTTTGTTTGTACCTGAGCGAGGGATAGATGTATTTGAACCCACTATATATTTTCAATGGACGTCATAATAACAGTACTATTAGAATTTGTGTGGTGCTCTACGATGACCCAACCGAAACCCAAACGAAGATGATCCGAAGATGGCCATGTCCAGGGTGGGTGACCTGGTCTACCAGTGTCAGCAGCACAAGAGGCTCTGCACCCTGAACCCGACATACAGCCTGATGAGGAGATCTACCGGTTTCTCCTGGCACTGACTACGTGGCCACGCGGGCCATCGCGGGCCGCCACGCAGCTGGATGGCGCCAAGAGATGGCAAGAAGCCATTAATGAGACGCGTGCCAAGTGCATGAGACGCGTGGAGGCTTTCCACTTCAGAAATGTCAGAACTGAGACCGAAGAAGCCGAGCAAGGACTAATTAGATCAGATGATGATGATGATGATGATGATGATGATGATTGGTTATTATCAGGTGACCTCAATTGTCATTTAGTGATGATCTTGATACACCCTGAATTTGACCTGAAATCAATGACAATTATTATAATTTTTTATAATTTTAAAATAGAATGACATTCCATCAATACTTCAAGTGAACCACATTGGACCACTTGGATCAAGGTACCCATCAATCTTCTTCTGAAGCTCTTCGGCAGCAGCCTTGTCATCGGACGTTTCGATGTTCTGATCCTCATTGTCATCATCATTCTCATCTCCTTGTTTTTTCCCTTTTGACTTCACAGGCATCACAGGAACCTGGCAAAAGCTAGGCAACTTGTTGTTTTTTGATGGTTCTTGATTCACTTCAATCACCGGGTACCGTAAGGAACACCCAAATTTGATGACTTTAAGACAATAAGATTCCCGAGTATCAACCATGATGATGATGGATTATGAACCCGATTTCTGCATAACTTGGGAATTAATAATCAGTATAGTTTTTTCTGACATATAATTTATCTGGATTTATTTAAACCAGATAAATATATTTCAGAAAACATGTTATAATATAAATTTGGTCAGTTGACTGGATTCTCACTGACCCCAACATCATCCCTGTCCAAGGATTGACTGACGGCCTTCAAGTGAGCCAGTTCTCCGTCGGGCTTCTCAGACTCCACCGGGACAACCATGGTCACGTCATCCTCATCATCATCAACCGCAGCATCTCCGTTAGCCTGCCATCAAGAATTTGAAAATGGTTGGGGCCAAATCATATTCAAACATAGACTTGGGTTATTCAACTGATCGTTATTTAATGTTTTTTCTTAACATGGTGATATGTCTCAAAATGAGGTGTCCGTTTATAGTTCCAGGCTATTTTATTTAAGGGGAAAAACGGACACCTCATTTTGAGACATCCCCACATGTGGCAATCCCTTCATCACAATCAGGCCTTTGCCAAGCGCTTCCTTTCTTTCAATTCTTTCTCGGCTTGCCTCAGATAGGAATGGGGAAATGCAAGCTGAAAAATGCTTGAGATAATAAATTTATGAGTGTTGACGATTTCAACCCCCAAATGTAGCATTCAATCATTCCAACCTCCATTTGACATAGCAATGGTGGTGTGCGCAATGTAAGTTGAGCATAGGCACTCCATGATGCTGTTCAGCCGGTTCTCGACTTCTCCATTGGAAACCCACTCTGCAACCTTGGATGTTGCGGCATTCTCACACCTACTACAAATGGGGAATCCAAATTTTCAGGAACCACCTTAATGCCAACTAGAAACAGGTTTCCGATGTCGCACAAGGTTCTTGAAGGTTGTCTCAAAGGTGTTATTGAACAGGCTATCCTCAGGTGCCCCATGTGCAGTAGTATATATACATAAGTATTTTACCATCTGGTAAATTAACATAGACCCTGGCAGATAGGGGTTAGAAGGCTAGTTTCCATTATAAATTGATCATTTTCAGGGTCTATGTTAATTTACCAGATGGTATAAGTTTCAGTCCCTTTGCTTTGCATTCCAACACGACCGGGCCTCCAAGAAAGCCCAGAAAAGTTCCGCTGATTTCGGCCATCCTGGCCCATAATGACAGGAAATTGTTTTTTTTCAAGTCTTAACTGGTGACTAAAATTAGTAAAATGAAACCTAACTTATCGTATCGGTTTAGTGGTGGCCATGACCCTTCCCCCGGTTGGCTCCTGCTCTCCACGTCAGGTCCACTTTCTCATTGGCATAGCCGCACATCCTATAGGACGGAAAGGGGGGTTCTGACTGATGAATGGATTAATGGGTATACCGTAACTCACGGCCGATGAGGCCCGGGCTTTCTGTATTCCACATGATCACCAGAAATCTCTTTCATGGAGTTCAGGACTTCTTCGTCCCAGCCATAGGACCTTATTTTTTGGAAACCATGGCCATGCTGAAATTGATTACTTCATTTTAAATGTGTGGCTATCAAATTTATCCCAGCCACGATGTGACCTTGTTGAACAAATAGTCTCGAAACTCGAGCTGGGCAGTGAAAAGCTCACAGGTCCCCTTCCCATTGAGGCTGTTCGAAAGCCCCCTCCATGTAAGCATTTCAGGACTCAGGTGCTGGTTTTTCCAGCCATCAAACCTTAGCCAACGGTCCCAGAGGCCACCAGAGGATTTATGATTTCATCCCCGTGAATTGAAACCAAGTAAATTCAAGAACATATGACCAATGTGTTTGTGTAAAAATAAAATGGCCATATCATTTAGGTGAACCCGATGAGGCTGAAAGGTAAAGTTGTTTTGATCGTCCAAATCGATAATTATTATGTCCCTTAAATTTTGAATTGACTGGTGGGATACCAACTTCAGACATCAAAATTATAATCTAAATAATGTGTTTGATTCAAGTGACATGGCATGAAACACCCAATCGATGTTGCGAGCAGTTTTGCCCTTACTCACCAGCAATTGTAGCTTCGACCAGTGGTTGAAAGGGTTCACATCAGACGGAGATTCATCAGCCTTCAGAAGAAGATCCAACAGCCGCTGGCTGTTGAGGACACGTCTGCTCAACGTGATGGCACTGTCCACAAAGGCATCAGTGACCTGGGCAATGGGCTAACCAATTGGCATTTACTTTCCAATTAATGCACCAAATTATTTTGATATAACTTAAGGCAGGTGCCATCATAATCTTCAAACTAATTAATTAACCATAAATGATAGCCAGTGTCATTTGGATACATGGTATTTACACTGGGGATGAACAATAAACAGCTATAATATTTGTCAGCAGTGGACGCGTTCAGCTTCACTGGAGGCTTTGTAGTTCTCAGCATACTTCTTGCAGAATTCTGCCGTACCTAAGTTCATAATTCAGAATGGACGGGTCAGTTTTTTTACATCAACGGATGGGACAAGTTTTACATGAAAGGGATGGACCAACAATAACTTCGGGATAAAACCAAATAGGAGACGGTCAAAACCCAACACCATAGGGAGTTTTATAGAACATGGAAACCATCATCATAAATGTTACAGAATGAGTTGCTCATGGCACCGTGCACCTTTTCCATCCTCCCCTTAGCGGCCATCACCGAGAAAGTCTTTTGCAGTGCTGTCAGAAAGAGAGACTCCTTGTCAAGCCCCAAGTCCTGCCGAATGTTCTGGTTCAGGAAGTACAAATCGGTATCCGATGTTGCAACCACATATTCAAATTCGACCTGAGCGGCGAACAAATGGGTTTCAATTTGTTACCCCTCCTCATGTGATTTGGTCCCCATGATGTTATATGTTTTTTAAAATAAGACTAAATTATAATGAATGAGGTGTTAAAAAACTGGGGTCATTGAAATCATTAGATGTGTTGCCCAATGATTTTTGGCAACACATGATCAAAACCAAGTTGCGCTCAGAGCATATTTCTTCCATTCTGCAGCTTTGACTTCATCTTCATTGTCTCGGTACATCGCCCTTAGTTGGTTTTTTGATTGATTTGGAATTTGGTACTGTACATGATTGATAAACCGGATCATCCTATGCTCAATAGACAAAATTTTAATGGCTATTTTTTTTTCAATCAAGGGGCAACAGAAAGGCTATTTGTCCTTCCATGGGGCTCACTGGTTTCACCCGCGAGTACTCTGAAGACGACAGGACCCAGTCTGGATGCACAGCAACCTTGAGCTTGCCGTGGAACCGAGCAGGGCCCTCAGCATAGTAGCGGTCTGCTATGTCGTTCACCGACTTCATTCGCAGGGGAACCTCACCACAAGATCAAGATTGAGCTGGGATAATTTTATCCTGGATATCTTGGTAAGTATCATCAATCATGAATTTTATAGTGGTCTTTAACCGTACAATTTAAATATTATATAAGATAATTTTCGGGATAACTATGGTAATGATTCACCAGGTTCATGCCATGAAATGTGGATAACGGATTATGCGGATTGTTGCCAAGTGACCGAAGGGTCCGCATTGAACATGATATCACAGCGGAAGAAGTTCTGGGAGCACGTGTAGCTGCCAGACGTGTTTGGCTGCCCACCTGCAGGTAACAAAGCCGCCTTCATGGACTGAACATCAAAGGGAGCCTAGGATTAGGATGGGCAAAAATGGATGAACATGTTTTTTTTTGAACTTGGGACATTTGAAATTCTTGGGGGGAATTGAAAGTAAATTTTGAAACAAGTGCGCAGGTCAATGTTGTTCATGCGAGCCACCAGCACAGCTCCCTCACCCAGGTTCAGAGGCTCCTCCGACACAACATCGCGCCATGTCTGCTCTGTCAGGCTAGCCAGGGCATGGGAGGTGCTGGCCAACAAATCCACATTGTGGCTGGATCCTGACCATGATGATGATGATGATGATGATGATGATGATGATGATGATGATATGAATTAGTAATGATGATGATGATGATGGTGATGGTGATGATGACGATGATGGTCTTGCTGATCTGACTGATGGTGGTGTTGACGATCGGTGATTATCAAATGGTCGTCAATGATGTGTTTTCCCTAACTCTGGACATGATATAAGTCGACGTCGATAATAATTATATAATGATGCTGATATGTTCAAATCAGTTTATTCCAAGTTGGACCCAATTAAGTATGTAACATGTTATTGGGATTTCACGAAGGTGCGCCTGAGGAGCTCAGGGAAGCATTCTCGGCATCCAACAGTGGGGCGATGTTGGGAACTTTGGCCTTTGTTTTGGCCTTGGCCTTCCCAGCCCCTGCATCCGGCTGCTTCCCACTTCGGCGACGGGGTTGTGGTGGGTCCATGTCTATGGTGCTGGCAACGAACAGCTCAGCCCCGGTCCCCTTGGATAAAATCCTTCGGAATAAACATGATTTGTTTTTCATGTGTACCATTGGATTCAATGATTGCCACCCATTGGATTCAATGATTGCCACTCGTAAAAGAACATGGTTCCCAGCCACTGCCAATGATCAACATTTGAAATGAATTTGGATCAGCAGTAGCCTCTGCCATACCTCTGCCAGGACCGCACAGAAATATACAAAAATTAAAAAACCAGGAAAGTCCGACAGGCGCCGATAAGGAAATCAGTGCATAAGAGATAGGGTCTGACAGTCCCTATCCCCTGTGCACTCCAGAGCGCTACCGAGAGTGCCCAGCCTCTCCTGCACTTCCTTAACACCCTAGGGCAAAAATTACGTATAGGGCCTATGCACTCCAAAATCCATGGTTCGTACAATGGTGGTGATAGGCTGGGTGCACTCCAGAGCGCTACCGAACGCACAAGGGATAGGGACTGTCAGACCCTATCTCTTATGCACTGATTTCCTTATCAGCACCTGTCAGACTTTCCTGGTTTTTTAATTTTTGTGTATTTCTGTGCAGTCCTGGCAGAGGTATGGCAGAGGCTACTGCTGATCCAGATTTCACCCCAAATTATAACCATAATAACTTGTGGGATTTGAATTCAACCTGAAGAAATCCTGTTCAATTCCCATTTCAACCCAGCGAGCAGGTCCGGAGAGAAGTCAATGATGTGTGGAATCCCATGGGCTCACCAGTGGTGTGATAATTGGAAATAACTTAATTAATTGAGGACCTGTTTAACCAATGGTATATTCAATGATGGGGTGTCCAAAATGGGGTTATCCTGACTGGAGGCCCATTGGTGCCAGTAAAAAAGCAATGGTTAACGGTTTACCTGGTAAAAGTCAATTCCAAAGTATTCAACCATTGTAATTATAGTATATTAAAGTATTATGGTGATTGGGGATTCCATGTAAGTTGGTTGAATCAATCTATAAGGTTCCATGAGGTCTCTGGAAACCATTCCATGAGGTCTTGGTTGAGCCATGTAGGGGCGGGGCTATGTTGGGCCAAAAAACCGATCATGTCTTCCCGAAAATGGCTTCCAGAGACCTCCATGGAACTTTATAAATCAATCATTCCCCCGTCAATCCCAACGCAGTTTTCTATCGGCAAGTCCCCAATGTAGTCGTTTAATTAGCACCAGGATTTACTGGGTCAAAAAGTTGAACCAGCAGTCAGTTGCCTTCAACCACCATCTCCTCGTCAGATTCAAATTGGTCTAGCATAAGTGTATCGGAGCCTTCCGTGTCGCAGTGACATTCAGCGCAAATGCATTTCAAGGCACCAAGGTCTGGCCTTAGTAGTCGACCAACTTCAGTCTTAAGTAACTTCAATTAAAAATTCTAATCATCCAATCCATCGAAACCAAATAGAAATAAATTTAAATCTAACTAAAAAGATATACCATTGGCTTGGCCTAAGGGACTCTTCTAGCCAGGGCAAGATGAAGGGGAAACTGCAGGACAGGCACAGCTTATCATCTTTGATCGCTTCTAAGATTCGGATCATTTGTTCCAGGGTCATGTTTACCCTGTTCTGTTTGATAGCTGAACCCTCAAATGCTACGGATGGTTCGGATCATATGCTCAGATTCAAAACATCAAGATTTATCAAAAATGACATCATTCATTGTTGAAGATTGTGAAGCTTCCAACAATCATGAGCAGAATTGTGTTTCTTGATATCAAGCCAATATCTTACTCAGTGGGTTTCCTCGCAGGAAACATACTTATATATTATTGTGATTATTGTGGTTTAAAGTTTGGACACGTGCTAATTCTGGTTTTCACCCCCGGCCAGTAAATTAACAGAAGGTTCCCACTGACAGATAACATTTTTTCCCTTGAATGGGGGTTTCAAAATCAATGGAGTTTTTAAACCTTGCGTAACACCATATTTGTCCCTGTTTTTTTCTTTTTAAACAGGGTCAGGAAAATTGGTTTGGAATCCTCATTAACCTTAAAACCCTCATTCAACGGAAATTTCTTTAGATGATGATGCCTATGATGTCGATGATGATGATGATGATGAATTAGTAGTATATGTATATAGTGATGATGTGATGGTGATGATGATGATGGTGATGATGACGATGATGATGATGATGACGACAACAATGGTGTGAGTTGTTTTACCAACTATTATAAGGATGATAAGCTGATGAAGTTAAAAGCGCTTATATCTTGATTTACTTGGATGACATCCAGGGGTCCAGGGGCAACGGTAACTGCCTTTTTCCCACAGTGGATTGAAAGACCCCTTCAAGCCACTGGACTCACTTTTTGTGAGAAGACCAGATTCTGATCATTTTCCGGGATCCGTCGATATCGAGAAACAGCTTCATCGCATCATTGGCTGTGACCTTGTACAAAATGTTTTTGAGGTCCTCAGATTCCGGTTTCAAGATCATTATATATAATTTATAAATAAATTATTGCCAATAAAAATGGATAAACTAACAGGTTCGACCATCATTGCAGAACCAATCACCCACGGCTCAACGCGCCAAGATTCTGGATCTTGTTGCTGCTCTCTGGTGGAGACGAAGGCCGTGGCTGTGGAGCCGAGTCCCTTGTATCTCCTTGCCCGCTCCTGGTCGAGGGGAAATAATGGCATTCAATTCATATAATTTACCCGGCAATAATAGACCATTGATCATTTAACTCTTGCATTCAATTTCAATCGATTACAATTTACTATGAAAATGAATTTGACTTGTTGGATTTTGTTGGTTCCGATGTCCGGCCCATGTTAAACAATGACGAGATTCCACAAATTTGTCTTTGTCAGCCATGATAATCCATGGAGAAGGTGCAGCATCAACCCACCCAGCAGCATCAGGGTGCAAAGCACGGAATTCTCGGGACACCCATGCCAAACGTCTTCGTGAGTTGCAAACCTTCCTAAGCAAGCATCGAATGCCATTTGATTAGTTTCATGACAGTCTAAATGAGTGAGTTCAAAAGGATTTTTGTTTCGGAATTCGAACTTGACAATTCCCAACGATCATTTTCAATGATTTGATTTTGTAAAATATACCAGGGCCCCACTGCGCCCAAAATTGTCCCATGGATGTGCGTCATCAATAAATCCAAATAATCAGGTTAGTAGGCCAAGGAGCCGGTAGGGAACCAACATTCCTTTGGTACCTTTGCTATGGAAGAACCGTGGACTGGCAATGTACCTCAGATGATCATTTGTTGATATCGATCGAAAAAACACGGAGTGGGATCAACACAAAGAACAACCACGTTATTAAAGTCATTGAAAAACAAAATCAATGCCTGGGGTGCAGTCCAAACAAGAAGGCTGCAAAGCTCGCCGAGGTTTTTGGCCGTGTAGGGTCTTGTTGTATGATCACATTGGCCTGGTTCACATTTGACCTCGGGGAATAATTGTTTATCATCGGACTGGGACTTTAATGGGAACCCGATTTAATTATATCTGACATTCACTGATGGGGGATACTGTTCCAAAAATTATTGAGTTAGTATTATTATTTAGTGATCCCGATTATCATCAAGACACGATCTCACGACTTGTGCCCCACAGTCGGCCACAGCTTCCCGCAGCTTCCGTGTGTTCATCGGTCCAGGGATCATCACCTTCATCGTCCTCATTGACACGTCGTCGGTGAGCATCACCGAGTCATCAACGGCACGGTCACCTGGGCTTTGGAAGTTGTTGTGGGTGGCTTTAGTATATGAAAGTCATAAGTGTCATTTATTATTATTTAGTTGATTAAAAATTATCTATAATTAACAATGTGGCCCCCAGTCTAGTCATGTCATTCATTGGACAATATAAAACAATATCCGCCGACCCCGGCCGACGGCAAGGGGGAGCGCGTCAGGGCAGAGAGGTTGCAACAACACCAACACCAACACCAACACCAACACCAACACCAACACCAACAACAACAACAACAACAACAACAACAACAACAACAACAACAAGAACAAGAACAACAACAACAACAACAACAACAACACCTTCAGAGGCATGGTGTTTTCCGCCCGGGAGGAGGTGATTTTTTCGAAGCTGTTTTACTGCCGCACCCGCAGGCAACAGAAGCTGTCGAAAAATGTTGTTTTTCTAGAATTTCAGACGACGCGTTAGGCAGTTTTTTGGCGTGGTTTTGGAACTAGCTCGTCCTTCAGAAGCATGGGGTTTTCCCCCGGGAGGTGATTTGGCGTTTCAGCGTTTCGAGTGGTGTCCATACACCAACACCAACACCAACGCCAACACCAACAACAACAACAACAAGAACAACAACAACAACAACAACAACAACACCTTCAGAGGCATGGTGTTTTCCGCCCGGGAGGAGGTGATTTTTTCGAAGCTGTTTTACTGCCGCGCCCGCAGGCAACAGAAGCTGTCGAAAAATGTTGTTTTTCTAGAATTTCAGACGACACGTTAGGCAGTTTTTTGGCGTGGTTTTGGAACTAGCTCGTCCTTCAGAAGCATGGGGTTTTCCCCCGGGAGGTGAGTTGTTCGAAGCTGTTTAGCTGCAGCAGGCGCAGGCAAAAGCAGCCGCAGGCAACAGAAGCTGTCGAAAAATGTTGTTTTTCTAGGATTTCAGACGACACGTTAGGCAGTTTTTTGGCGTGGTTTTGGACCTAGCTCGTCCTTCAGAGGCAGGGTGTTTTCCCCCGGGAGGTGATTTTTTGTAGGGTTTCAGAAACAACATTAGGTACTTTTCCCGGTCACTTTTGGAGCGTTTTGGGCACGAAATTAGGTGGCGTTTCAGCGTTTCGAGTGGTGTCCATACACCAACACCAACACCAACAACCAACAACAACAACAACAACAACAACAACAACACCTTCAGAGGCATGGTGTTTTCCGCCCGGGAGGAGGTGATTTTTTCGAAGCTGTTTTACTGCCGCACCCGCAGGCAACAGAAGCTGTCGAAAAATGTTGTTTTTCTAGAATTTCAGACGACACGTTAGGCAGTTTTTTGGCGTGGTTTTGGAACTAGCTCGTCCTTCAGAAGCATGGGGTTTTCCCCCGGGAGGTGAGTTGTTCGAAGCTGTTTAGCTGCAGCAGGCGCAGGCAAAAGCAGCCGCAGGCAACAGAAGCTGTCGAAAAATGTTGTTTTTCTAGGATTTCAGACGACACGTTAGGCAGTTTTTTGGCGTGGTTTTGGACCTAGCTCGTCCTTCAGAGGCAGGGTGTTTTCCCCCGGGAGGTGATTTTTTCTAGGGTTTCAGAAACAACATTAGGTACTTTTCCCGGTCACTTTTGGAGCGTTTTGGGCACGAAATTAGGTGGCGTTTCAGCGTTTCGAGTGGTGTCCATGAGTCGAGCTGTTGCAGCTGACGTCAAAGCGACAGGACGCGACAAGACAGTTGTCACAAAGGCAGGCAAAAGATCTTTTTTTCTAGGCTTTGAGGGCAGGCAAAAGATCTTTTTTTCTAGGGTTTTAGAAGCAACGTTAGGCACTTTTCCCGGTCCCTTTTGGAGCGTTTTTGGCATGAAATTAGGTGGCGTTTCAGCGTTTCGAGTGGTGTCCATGAGTCGAGCTCGGCAACGGCAGCAGCCTTCTAGTATGCTTCAGTTCCCTCATGTCTTCAGTTCTAGTAGGATTCCAGAAGTCAGCGGCAATGGCAGTAGCAGCGGCAGCAGCAAGTCCGCAGCAGCGGCAACGGCAGCAGCCTTCTAGTATCCTTCATCAGTTCCCTCAAGTCTTCACTTCAGTTCTAGTAGGATTCCAGAAGTCACGTTAGAGAGTTTTTTGGTGCGATCCTGTGGCCCGTTCGTCCTTCCGTGTCCTGCTGTTTTGGTGCCGGGAGGTGCTTTTGGTACACTTCTGTCAGCAGCAGCAGCAGTAAGAGCAGCGGCAGTGGCAGTAGCAGCGGCAGTAGCAAGTCCAGCAGCAGCAACAGCAGCAGCGGCAACGGCAGCAGCCTTCTAGTCTCCTTCATCAGTTCCCTCAAGTCTTCAGTTCTAGTCGGATTCCAGAAAGTCCAGCAGCAGCGGCAGTGGCAACGGCAGCAGCTTTCTAGTGTCCTTCATCAGTTAGTTCCCTCAGGTCTTCAGTTCTAGTAGGATTCCAGAAGTCACGTTAGAGAGTTTTTCGGTGCGATTCTGTAGCCTGTTCGTCCTTCCGTGCCCTGCTGTTTTGGTGCCGGGAGGTGCTTTTTGGTGGCAGCAGCCTAGTATCCATCAGTTCCCTCAGGTCTTCAGTTCTAGTAGGATTCCAGATGTCACGTTAGAGAGTTTTTCGGTGCGATTCTGTAGCCTGTTCGTCCTTCCGTGCCTTGCTGTTTTGGTGCCGGGAGGTGCTTTTGATACACTTCTGTCAGCGGCAGCACCAGCAGCAGCAGCAGCAACGGCAGCAGCCGTCTAGTATCCTTCATCAGTTCCCTCAGGTCTTCAGTTCTAGTCGGATTCCAGAAGTCACGTTAGAGAGTTTTTCGGTGCGATTCTGTGGCCTGTTCGTCCTTCCGTGCCCTGCTGTTTTGGTGCCGGGAGGTGCTTTTGGTACACTTCTGTCAGCAGCAGCAGCAGCAGTAAGAGCAGCGGCAGTGGCAGTAGCAGCAGGAGCAACGGCAGCAGCAAGTCCAGCAGCAGCAGCAGCGGTAACGGCAGCAGCCTAGTATCCATCAGTTCCCTCAGGTCTTCAGTTCTAGTAGGATTCCAGAAGTCACGTTAGAGAGTTTTTCGGTGCGATTCTGTGGCCTGTTCGTCTTTCCGTGCCCTGCTGTTTTGGTGCCGGGAGGTGCTTTTGGTACACTTCTGTCAGCAGTAGCAGCGGCAGCAGCAGCAACGGCAGCAGCCGTCTAGTATCCTTCATCAGTTCCCTCAGGTCTTCAGTTCTAGTAGGATTCCAGAAGTCACGTTAGAGAGTTTTTCGGTGCGATTCTGTAGCCTGTTCGTCCTTCCGTGCCTTGCTGTTTTGGTGCCGGGAGGTGCTTTTGGTACACTTCTGTCAGCAGCAGCAGCAGTAAGAGCAGCGGCAGTGGCAGTAGCAGCGGCAGTAGCAAGTCCAGCAGCAGCAGCAGTAGCAGCGGCAACGGCAGCAGCCTTCTAGTCTCCTTCATCAGTTCCATCAGGTCTTCAGTTCTAGTAGGATTCCAGAAGTCACGTTAGAGAGTTTTTCGGTGCGATTCTGTGGCCTGTTCGTCCTTCCGTGCCCTGCTGTTTTGGTGCCGGGAGGTGCTTTTGGTACACTTCTGTCAGCAGTAGCAGCGGCAGCAGCAGTGCCAGCAGCAGCAGCAGGAGCAACGGCAGCAGCAAGTCCAGCAGCAGCAGCAGCCTTCTAGTATCCTTCATCAGTCCTTCATCAGTTCCCTCAGGTCTTCAGTTCTAGTAGGATTCCAGAAGTCACGTTAGAGAGTTTTTCGGTGCGATTCTGTAGCCGGTTCGTCCTTCCGTGCCTTGCTGGTTTGGTGCCGGGAGGTGCTTTTGGTACACTTCTGTCAGCAGCAGCAGCAGCAGCAACAGCAGCAGCAGCAGGAGCAACGGCAGCAGCACGTCCAGCAGCAGCAGTAGCGGCAACGGCAGCAGCCTAGTATCCATCAGTTCCCTCATGTCTTCAGTTCTAGTAGGATTCCAGAAGTCACGTTAGAGAGTTTTTCGGTGCGATTCTGTAGCCTGTTCGTCCTTCCGTGCCTTGCTGTTTTGGTGCCGGGAGGTGCTTTTGATACACTTCTGTCAGCAGCAGCAGCAGCTTTTGGTATATTTCTGTCAGCAGCAGCAGTAAGAACAGCAGCAGCAGCAGCAGTAAGAGCAGCGGCAGTGGCAGTAGCAGCGGCAGCTGCAAGTCCAGCAGCAGCAGTAGCAGCGGCAACGGCAGCAGCCTTCTAGTCTCCTTCATCAGTTCCCTCAGGTCTTCAGTTCTAGTAGGATTCCAGAAGTTAGGATTTCAGAAGGGACGTTAGGGACTTTTTTAATGCGATTCGGCGTCATTTCCGGTACGAAATTAGGTGTTTTTGGGTGCGATTCTGTGGCCTGGTCGTCCTTCCGTGCCTTGCTGTTTTGGTGCCGGGAGGTGCTTTTGGTACACTTCTGTTAGCGGCAGCACCAGCAGCAGCAGCAGTAGCAGCAACGGCAGCAGCCGTCTAGTATCCTTCATCAGTTCCCTCAGGTCTTCAGTTCTAGTAGGATTCCAGAAGTCACGTTAGAGAGTTTTTCGGTGCGATTCTGTGGCCTGTTCGTCCTTCCGTGCCCTGCTGTTTTGGTGCCGGGAGGTGCTTTTGGTACATTTCTGTCAGCAGCAGCAGCAGTAAGAGCAGCGGCAGTGGCAGTAGCAGCGGCAGTAGCACGTCCAGCAGCAGCAGCAGTAGCAGCGGCAACGGCAGCAGCCTTCTAGTCTCCTTCATCAGTTCCCTCAGGTCTTCAGTTCTAGTAGGATTCCAGAAGTCACGTTAGAGAGTTTTTCGGTGCGATTCTGTGGCCTGTTCGTCCTTCCGTGCCGTGCTGTTTTGGTGCCGGGAGGTGCTTTTGGTATACTTCTGTCAGCAGTAGCAGCGGCAGCAGCAGCGCCAGCAGCAGCAGCAGGAGCATCGGCAGCAGCAAGTCCAGCAGCAGCAGCAGCGGCAAAAACAACAAACAACAACAACAACAAGCACCTCAACAACAACAACACCTTCAGAGGCATGGTGTTTTCCGCCCGGGAGGAGGTGATTTTTTCGAAGCTGTTTTACTGCCGCACCCGCG